TACCGTATTATTTATAATTATTCCATAAAAAATTCACTTCTTAATTGTCTAACTAATGAAGTTTAGTATATAGAATATAAAAAAATATTAATTTCGGTAAATACATTGCTAAAGTAAATCGCAAGTAAATTATATTCCTCTAAAACAGTGAACGGAAAACATAATATACATCTGGCCGGGTAGTAGCTAAGATTTTATTATATGTTGATGTATGTACGCAATGTAGAGGTCTGCCGTGATCAATATAAGTTTTTAAGACTATAATAAACAACATATTATTAAATCAATGGCAGATCTAGTCAATTACTTTCAAAATTTTGCATTTTCAATGCAATTTAGCATTTTCAAAGTGGTCTGCCACAAAGTAAAATGCGCGATAATGGTCTGCCATTCTTATTTTCCGATAATAATAATCATATATTTTCAAAATTTCAAAACGGCAGACGTGGTCAAATGGATTTAAAATCCGTCAAAATCGGTACCTGTCCTACCTGAGCGCTCGGCGCGTCGACCACTTTGAGCTTAGTGAGTCCCCACCTCATGCATGGTAGGTATAGGGGTCTCAATGTACGAAAATTCAGGTCTGGTCAAATACATACAGGTAGATCCCACGGGCTCTCGGGCTACTAGTGACGAAACGTGGCTTTACGAGTCTGACATACAAACTAGTCAACAAGCTACGGAGTTGCCTTCCAACGGAATCGACACAAAAAAAACACGTCAAAGTCGATTAAAAGTCATGTTGACTGTTTTCTTTGACTATCACGGTGCTGTGCAATCGGAATTCTTGGCGGAAAGGTCAAGTGGTAATATCATCATTATCCTGCCCTTCTCCCAGTCACCTTGGGACGGCGCAACATGTTTTCTCCTTCCATACTCTTCTATCATATACCATTTCTTCGCTCACTCCCTTCTTACCCAATCGCCTTTCACGCAATCCATCCATTTTTTCTTAAGTCTACCTCTTCCTCTATATCCTTCCACATTCATAGTTAACATTCTCTTACCAACCTCATTTTGATTCCGTCTCATCACATGCCCATACCATCCCAAACGTGCACTTCTCAGCTTCTCTGTCACAGGTGCCACTTTCAGACTTCCTCTAACATATTCATTCTGTATTCTATCCATTCTCGTTACTCCACACATCCATCGCAACATTCGCATCTCTGCTGCATGCAATCGCCTGATATGAAATGAATAATAATATTATTTGAGCGTTAAGCAGCGTTTAAGAGAGCAAATATGACGAAAAGGGCCAGATTAGTGGAAAGACACAAGGCCTTTGCCCAAGGCCATCATTGTGAACGAATTTTTGATCAAAAACTCAAATAATATGATCGAGTAACCGCCTTATTCACTAGATATGGGCTCCAGCCGACTTCTTTCTTTGCCAGGCACCCGTTTTCATTCGGTAGAAGACATAAAAGAGAATTAGCGGCGAGAACTGAACTCAATTCCGAAAACGTCGTTTAGAAAATGTTTCGATGATTAGATTATAAGGCCGCCAATTTATGTCACTGACTATTATTTGTTTTATATGATTACTCTGTACATGTGGTGTTAAATAAATAGTTATATTATTATTATTTGTTGGCGTAAGCGTATCATTTATGAAAAAGTACACTTTGAAGATGATAAAATTAATTTGGATTAATAGGTGCTATATAATTTTGTGTATTATTGATATTTTCCCGACACTTTCTTGAGATAGTAGTATTCCAAATTACATTGTGTATATATACACACCAAATCTTGTAGCACGCAGGAGAAAATTTAGATTATCAACGAATAATAAACGGCGCTCGAATATTTTTTTAGGTATTGATATTATCACACAATCCACTAAAGTCATAGTAGAGAGTGATTAGGTTCCACATGCACGAGTATAATCTAATAAATAAAAGAAAATAATCGAATAATTTAACTCACGCAGCTAACTCGTTCCAAATGTAAACAAAAATCATAAATCAATGACCACCCGAGTGCCCATATCCGGGCCCGGCGAATTGCAGATCAAACCGTTCAATCGTGCGGTTGGAGCCCGAAATCATTCGGCTATTGGACCGAAGGAAGCAATAATGGCTAATTTACGTTTCGATCTCACACGAAACCGGATTACCGATTGATTGAAATCTCGAAACCGGTTATGAAACGGGGGGGTCAAAATTGCTCTTTTGTTTTTCGCCGAAGATTCGGTAGTCGACTCAGAAATAGATGATCTTTTGTTTGGTGTGCTATTTTATTCATTATTCATTTATATTGTAATTTCGTTTACCCATTTATTCAATACTAGTGGTCATGCAGTAGTCGAAATTCGACTTTAAGGGTTAACCCTTAAATGGACGATTGAAATTATAAATTTGAACATTATTATGGTTCTACTGACAAAGACTATTTATTATACTTCTATAATCACAGTTTTTGCCAAGAATACACTACACAAATAATATTACAGATAAACAATTTTAACCTATTCTCAATTTGACCATAGACATAAAGCAAAAGTTTGACAATAAACAGAGTATATGTCTGTGTGTTAAATACACGGTAGTGTGAGTAATGTTTTTATTGATTTAAAGTGTTTTTATGCATAATTTAAAAAAATATTTACATTCTGCACTTCTTCTCTATATTCTCTATATGTTTGGGAAATTTCATATTGCTCCGTCCGCGCAATTTTCGTAAAAAGGGGTATAAAATTTTTGCTTCACGTATTAATATATAGATAACACAAGGCACATGGGTTATACCACAGTTATGGGTTATAATTAGGACACAGTAACAACATTCCGAACATTTCTCCGCAAAGCCAAATTTCCTGTACTTCGTTTTGATAATTATGAAGAAACTATTTATAACCTAATAACTATTTATCTATACTATATAATATTATAAAGAGGAAAGATTTGTTTGTTTGTTTGTTTCGAATAGGCTCCGAAACTACTGGACCGATTTGAAAAATTCTTTTTCCATTAGAAGCCGACATTGTCCCTGATGAATATAGGCTACTTTTTTAAATTATTTTTTTATTTATTTTTTTGGTTTCATGTGTGCTTTAATGTTTCCGAAGCGAAGCGAGGGCGGGTCGCTAGTAAACTAATTAGTTTCTTCATACACAATAAATACCAAAAGAGGAGTCTATAATAACCCGATAATACAGTGGTTAGCCTCTCCGAGTCTGGGCTAAGATTCGGTTCCCGCTTTCGCACAATGAACGGGTTTATTTCGCTCTGGATTTCGGTATTTAATATATTTATATGTATATATTTTAAAATATATTAGTATAAATATAATTATATATTATATCAAGCTTTGTTTCATGATGCATGATTTCAAATATGCATGATTTGTTCCAGCTATTTCTTTTTCCTCTTCTCTTCTTCAACCTGTATCCACCCAATGCTGCAACTCTATTCGTTTCGGTCTCTTGCCTTTTGCATCCAGTCCTTACCAGTCTGGATATTTATTTACTGTGAAAACAGCATCAAAATATGGAACAGCTATTTGGAAAATACGTTTTAGAAATATCTCTCTGTATCTCACTCGTAGCTGTGCACAAACAAACACGACGTGACCATCCATTATCCTTCATCATTGTTTTGTTGTTTGATAACTGTAAAACACTGACAGAAATAAAATATTTTAAACCTAAATATTTCTTAATCGATCAATAAAACAGAAGTCGTCGTGGCCTAAAGGATAAGACGTCCGGTGCATTCGTATCGAGCGATGCACTGGTGTTCGAATCCCGCAGGCGGGTACTAATTTTTCTGATGAAATACGTACTCAACAAATGTTCACGATTGACTTCCACGGTGAAGGAATAACATCGTGTAATAAAAAGCAAACTCGCAAAGTTATAATTTGCAAAATTACTGGTGGTGGTAGGACGTCTTGTGAGTCCGCACGTGTAGGTACCACCACCCCGCCTATTTCTGCCGTGAAGCAGCAATGCGTTTCGGTTTGAAGGGTAGGGTAGCCGTTGTAACTATACTGAGACGTGGGTGGCGCATTTACGTTGTAGATGTCTATGGGCTCCAGTAATCATTTAACACCAGGTGGGCTGTGAGCTCGTCCACCCAACTAAGCAATAAAAAAAGAAGAATGTTTTTGCTGTTTCGGAAAACGTTTTGAAAAGAAAATACAAACAAATAATTTAGTCATGCGCTTAGACATAGTATAACGATCAGAGAAATACGATAAACAGTCCAAAGCACATGCGCATGTCGGCAAAGTCCTGGGAGGTGCTTTGAAATGGATAAGCAGACGAAGCTCACGACTTACTTGGTTTTGAGTGACGTAACTACAGCAATCCACCTTGAGATGATCTCGCAGTCGCAGTGATGGTAACTGCTTCCCTACCTTTCAAATCAGAAGCTGCTGGACAGTTATGCCTACCTATGAAGGCTGATTGTTAACTCCTAACATACAGCATTCGAACCATACACTGATGTCAAACACCAAATTACTCTGTTTATTTTTTACTTTTTTATCTGTGTAAAAAAGGCTTTACTTACTCTATGATAGAAAATGGCGTCCGACGTACGCGCCATTAATTATACCTTAATGTAAATGCCATTAAACTTGGAACGAAGTAATCTTTAATCAAAATCTTGATTCAAATCGAAATCATCGATTGCGGTACCATATTATTCTCCTCTGATAGTACAGAATATCACTAAACCAACGCTTAACGAATTTGATATTATCTGTTTTTACCGCGTAGATATGTTATGTTTCAGTTTGGAAAGTGAGATAGCCATCACTCCAATATTGATTTTTTTTATTGCTTGGATGGATGAGCTCACAGGTTACAGAAGCCCATAGACATCTACAATTTAAATGTCGCCACCCACCCTTGAGACATGAGTTGTAATTCAAGTCGGATAACGGGGCTTATGCTGTGATATCTATGTGCCCAGATTACTCATCTCTATATTAATACGTGAGGCAAAAACTTTTTATCCCTTTTTACGAAAATTATGCGGACGGAGGAGTATGAAATTTCCCACACTTATAGAGAATATAGAGAAGAAGTGCAGAATGCTAATATTTTTTTTAAAATAATGCATAGAGATACTTTAAATCAATTAAAAAAACATTACACACACTACCATGTATTTGACACACACAGACATAGTCTTAGTTTATTGTCAAACTTTTGTTATTGCTTAAAGTCTGAAGTCAAATTGAGAATAAGTTAATATTGTTTATCTTTCTTGGCGAAATATGTCACTATAGAAATATATTAGTCTTTGACAATAGAACCATAATAATGTTCAAACTTATGATTTCAATTAATTATAGTCGTAGTTCGACTACTGCGGGACCACTAGTTTATAGCAGATATCACTGATCTTTTTCTATTCGCTCCATTAGAAAATGATCTAAAACTCTTTGCATCGGTATGACGTGACCATCCCAACAATTCCAAAGAAGCACCACGTTCCCAAACTGGAAATTTTCAATTTTAAATTCCGCGCGAGATCCGAAGTCGGTCGGTTAATTAAAAACGTCTAAACTCAAGAGTTCGAAAGCCGGTCACGTAAACCCGAAACTTCTTAAACTTTTAAACTGTCACAATGGAATTAAGTTTTGGAATTATTGAAACTAAGTTTTTTTTAAGGTTACGTTTTGTGATTTTTGCGTCGGGCCAATAGACATTAACCATGTTAATGCCGCTGCCCATCTTAAGACATAAATTCTAAATCTCAATTCTTACAGTACAACGGCTGCTTCACCCATCAAACCGAAACGTATTACTGCTTCACGGCAAAAATAGGTGCCTACGCATGAGGACTCATAACATGCTTCATCACCATTTAATAACCATCAACCACATTCCAATAAAAACGAACTGAAACGATTTAAATAGCAAAATCCTATTCAGATAGCGACTTGTCTCTTATATTTATGTAGAACTTAAATCTGTTCAAAAATACTGTTACGCCGGTAAGAGCAACGCCATCTTTCGTCGAATGGCGGATGCGAATATCAAAGTAACTAGTAAAATCGAGAACGCTCGAGAAGTACAACGCCATCTTTTGTCAGATAGCGGAAACACATATCGAAGCTACTCGACCTGTCAAGAATGTTCTCGATGATTGTGGAGATGTCGTATCGACTACAAAAGCGTTGCAGAGATGACACGCAGGCAGTTAGTAAGCGGTTCTACTCGAAGCGAAAGAGCTAACGGATCACATGAAGCGAAGATTTTTACCCTAGCGCGTAACAATACGAAACTTAAACATGTGGATTGGAACCCGTCGGCATCACATAAATCCCATATTGAGATATTAAATTAGCGTACGATAGCTATCCCTCCACCTCAATTGGTAGTATGACCTAAGAACTGCAAACGGTCAATGACCTTTAAACTGTGAGTAACACCCACGTGTTACTATTGTTGATCGAAGGTGGGTATTAATCGATTCAACACGGGGACTCCCCGGAGGAGTTGTTTGAAAGAACCCTTTCGTCGTACATGTGAATAGTACCGCCCGATTAGCCTCCTCATGTCTCTAGGCAAACTGTATGAGCGTCTGCTCTACAAACGCCTCAGAGACTTCGTCTCATCCAAGGGCATTCTCATCGATGAACAATTCGGATTCCGTACAAATCACTCATGCGTTCAACAGGTGCACCGCCTCACGGAGCACATTCTTGTGGGGCTTAATCGACCTAAACCGTTATNTCGTTCTGCTCGTCTACCCGTGTATGCTGATAAAAACACTCAATGTACCTAGCAAAAAATCGAGTGTGCACCCTTAATAAAAGTTCGCAGCGCGAAAGCCACCACTAAATAACGCAAACACTAAACAAACACACAAATTGACAAGCGAGATTCGTTCGCTTCCGACAAAACTATGTGCTTAAGGTTTCGTTTTGAAGTGCGCTTTGAAATGTCAGTCTGGATTAATTTGACTTCAATAATCGATATGTTAAATGTTCTGTTACACACAAAGATAACAACAGGCACAGTAAAAGGATCGTTTCGCAATAGAACATCGAAATCAACTAAGATATGACCTAAAGAGTACTAAGGAACTTGGGAACAGTCGAAAGATTATTTCTAATAACGATAATAGCCACGGTGTGCATCTTTACATTATTCTTATTTCACAATCAACCTAATTAAAGAATTAGACGATTCTCTAAATTTGTCAATTATAATGACAGTTAACATTTTTGAAAAAATATATTTTGATGTTTAAGAACATCGATATATTACCACTAGATAACGCATCACATACAAAAACCAAACACAAATATGGCATCG